GCTTTTATAACACAGAGGACTGTGTTATTTAAGTGTGGGGGAGGAGTTTATTGTTTACTAATCATGTTTTTTTTTTATCTTATTTTCCACTTTGAGTCTTGAGTCTCATGTAGTTGCATCTAAATGCATATAAAATCAGAAAAGTTTCACAAAAAATGTTCATTCTAGATTGCATTCACATTTTTTAGGATCGAGTCTAGTTGCATCATATAGGTTGCATCTTGCAGGGAGTAATGATAGGTTTTCTAGAGAGTACATCACTTTGAGAACTTGAACTGAATATGCTTGTGAATCTTTTTTTGTGCTTGCAAAGTCTGAAACGATCTGAATCTGAGAAGCAAGTTTGAATTGAACTCAACTCTAATTAAGTGAGAACCTTGAACTTGACTTGAAAATATCTTGTGATGCATTGTTTGAATAAGCTTGTGGATACCGACATACATACTTGAGCTAGAACCATTGTTTTCACCGCCCTTTTTCCTTAGCTCAAGTAGCTGAATCCACATCATGGATCAGTTCCCTCACCTTGAACCCATCCTTCTTTCAAGCCAATGTTTGTGTGTGAATTGAAAGGCCACCTTGGATCAAACTTAGCAGAAAGTGTTAGGTTTAGAGCGACAAGGGCTGGTCTCATTGAGTGCTGTGTTCCAACATCAAGGAACTGAGAGTATTGGCGAGGAATAAGTGTGGGGGAGTGCTTGTTGGTTAATTTTAAAAAGAAGAGAGATGAGTGGAAAAAGGAGAGATGTGAAAACTAGGGGATAGAAAAGAAAAGAAATCAGTCTTGGAGTTTTGAGTTAAAGAAAGTGAGCTCTGGTGTCTTAAAAAGAAAGAGTCTAGCCTCTAAGTAAAAGGAAAAGAAAAAAGAAGCCAAAGAGCTCAAATGTTTTGAAAAGAAAGAAAAAAGAGGCTAGAGGTTGCAAAAGAAAAAGAGCTGTGTAAAGTTTGAACTCCAAGACTTGAGAGTGAAAATGAAAAGTAAGTCCCCTAGTGAAGAGGAAAATGAGTGTGAAAAGTGAGGTTCTTGAGAGAGTGAGCAAGTGAGAAAGCTTTGAGTAGAGTGTGGGGTGTGATGAGTCTTTGCCCTTGTATTGCTTTTTACCTTTACCATTCTGCCAAAGTTTGGTCATTCATAGAGAGATCCCTTTGCTGCATTAAACCCGCTTGAACACTGATGAGATCATTTTAATCTCATAGCCTCTTCCTAGCCAAGCCAGCTTGTTTAAACATTGCATCATTTGATTCACATGATAAAAGCTTAATGAATGTGAAAGAGTTGAGAGAGAGGAGAACTTGTGGAGATTCCTTGTTTAGTTGATATATATCTGAGTATGGCTTTGCATTGCATAATTGAGCATGAACTTGAATTCTCATTGTGATCACTTCTCTCTAAAAGGAAATATGAACTCCCAATGCATTCAACCTCTCTCTCTCATTTGTTCTTTTTGCTTGAGGACAAGCAAATGATAAGTGTGGGGTAGTTGATATATTCATAAATTGCATCATTTAGTGTACATATTTTAGTCCAAATCTTGTCTTATCTCATGCATTTTAGGTCTTTAGGCATTGTTTTAGGACTTAGGAGATTGCATTAGGTCCAAGAGAGTTTTGCATGTTTTGTGATATATCATGGTTTTTTATGGTTTTCGACCATGATATAGATCTTATTTATAGAGTCTGTTTAGTGCTTTTCGAGTCTTTTGGAGTCTTTACAGGTCCTAGGTACGTTTGGAGCTTAATTGGAGATATTGGAGCATTTTGGAGCTAAATGGATGGATTTTCGTAAAGGATGATTTCAGCTGTGCATGAGTGTCGCTCGACACAACCATTGGTGTCGCTCGACACCAAGGACCACAAAAGGAAAAACGTGATTTTATCCAATTTCTGAAGAATCTGTGAAGCCCTAAAGTCTTTAATATTTACAAAAAGGCCCAAAACGTGATTTTTGATTTAAGATGGGTTTTCTGCCTCCTTCATCGATACCTTGGGATTTATTTTAGACTTTCAGAGAGAAAACTTTTGTCATCTATACTTTTGAGAGCTTTTGGGGAGACAAGTCTGAACTCTGTCCGTTTTGAGAGAAGATTTCGAACCCCTGTTATTTATTCAGTGATTTCTTATTTGCAATCTATTCATTCATGTCTATTGCTTTGATATTTATGTCTGAATAGTTAGCTTGTTAGGTTTAGGGTTCTCATAAAGGATTTCATTGAATGTTGGATTGATTTGCTAGTTAGGGTTCATAATCTGATTAGTTCTTCACCATAGGTTGTTCTTAAAGTTAATTCTGGACTGATCACCTAGAACTTAGATCTTAGGTTAATTGATTGACACGAAAGTGTAATTGAATAACTGGAAAGAACCTAGGGTGAGCAAAGTTGCTATCCGCAAAGAAATTTGGTTTAGATACTTTGTGAACATATCAAACCTGCACTTAAGGCTAGTTTATATCTTTAGGATTTGCAAAGAAATTTGGGATTCTAAGATTTAGACTTAGATAATTCTCGCAACGAAAGTTGGTTAATTATAATTTCGTGATTTGAGTTCAAGAACCGCGCTTAACCTGAATCCTGACTAGTTAATTTATCTGCATTCTCTGATTTCCTGAGAAACACCCTGGACCTAATCCTTTTCCAATCGATTTAGAACCGTTTTCATTGTTCTGCTGATTTCAATTCTGTTATTTCTGCTTAGCTTAATTCAATTCTTTTAGGTCTATTGAGTGAATCTCTCGTCTCTGTGGTTCGACCCCTACATACTACAGCCGCACATTTGTGCTCTTGCAGAGTAGCTCTAGGGATTAAACTTTGAGCAGATCAAGTTTTGGCGCTGTTGCCGGGGACTTGATTTTCGCCATTAGACTTTAGATTTTGAGTTTCGACTAAGTTTTTCTTAGTGTCGAGCGACACCCTTAGTGGTGTCATGCGACACCAGTCGTTTTTGTTTGATTTTACTTTTATTTCGTTACTTACGTTGCTCTTTCTCTTTGCCTTTTGTGTTTCAGGTGTATGTAGACTCGCAGTACCAGAAGCAACAAAGACAATCCACTAGTGAATCTTAACAACCAAGAGCTAGCAGAGTTAGAGCAAACGAACAGAAAAGCACAGAAACCGGCAACGATGGAGAACGCAAACAGACTTGTTCGTGATGATGCTGGAATCTGGAGAGACCAAGAAGGCCATGTGTGCAATGAGAGAGGCCAGCGACTTGATGGAGAGGGCAACATCATCCCTCTGGCACCTTTACCGGTGGATGTTGTTGATGTGAATGCAGCACCTGCGGCGCGTGGTAACCAGAGGAATGCTGCTGTGGACCAGAACGTGAGGAACCCTGTAGTTGCTCGAGCCAGGACACTTGGTGATTACAACAGGCCTGAGCAGTTCTATGCAAATCGTTCTGCGATTCGCGCTCCTGCGTTTCAAAGGAACGATTTTGAGCTGAAACCTGTGTACTACACTCTTGTGGGTCAGCATCCCTTTCATGGCCACTCTCATGAGCACCCAATGGATCACATCGAGAGGTTTGAGAACTTGGTCACCAGTATCAAATACAATGGAGTGTCCAATGATTTCCTTCTCTGCAAGCTGTTTCCTTATTCTCTTGCTAGAGAAGCAGCTAACTGGTTGAAGCAGTTGGAGCCAGGATCACTCACTACCTGGGAGGAGACCAGGAATGCCTTCCTGCACAACTTTTTTGATGATGCTAGGTCTGAGGAATTGAGAACAAAAATTTCAACATTCTCTCAGGAACCAACTGAAGCGTTCAAGGCTTCTTGGGTGCGATTCAAATCGTACCAGCGAGACTGCCCCCATCATGGCTTCAGTGATGTTCAACTGTTAGGTATCTTCTTCAGAGGTGTTGATTGGAGGTATCAGATGGCTCTTGATGCAGCGAGCAATGGAAACTTCAACACCAGATACCCAGAAGAAGCTGTTGAGCTCATCGAGAACTTGGCGTCTAGTAATAGCACCAAGAATGCTGGTCTTGAGCGGAAGAAGCAAGCTGGGAACATGGATAGATCACAGATTGCTGAGGTGAAGGCTAAGCTGGACTCTGTGCATAGTCTTCTTGTGGCTAAGAAATCTGTCAAATTTGCTGCAGAGGTTGAGAGTTTTGAACCAGAAGAAGAACCTGAGGAAGAGGATGTTAACTTCATCAATGGAGCTGGATTTCAGGGTCAGAGATTTGGTACTCAGCAAGGAAACAGGAACTACAGTGGAAACAATCAGAGGAGTACCTTCACAAGTAATCAGAACTCTTCTGGTTACACTCCTAAACCTCAGTACCAGAAACCATTCTCCAATAACAGCTTTTCAAGGAACTATGGTGCTCCTCCTCCTCAAACTGCAGATAATGAGGTGAAATCTATGCTGGAACAGATCTTGGAAGGTCAGCAGAAGATTACTATGGACTTCAATGGGAAGATTGATGCTCTATATCTGGATCTGAATGGGAAATTCGAAGCTCTGAACACTCATGTCAAGAAGTTGGATATTCAAGTTGCACAGACTGCTGAAGCTGTAAAAAGACAAGAGGGATTTCTTCCAGGGAAGACTGACACCAACCCAAGACATCATTGCAGTGCCATCACGTTGAGAAGTGGTAAAAAGCTTACTCCTGAGCTTCAAAAGGGTGATCCTGAGGATGAAATCGTGGAACTGGAGGAATCTGTAGAAGATTTTGAAACTGCAGAGCCGGTGTTGGGCGACACTACCACTAGTGTCGCACGACACCAAGTCAATGATATGAAGAAAACACCAGCAGTGACGGACGACACCAACACAGGGGTTGAGCGACACCAAGACGCCGAGACGAAGAAGAAACTAGCAGTGTCGAGCGACACCACCACTAGTGTCGATCGACACCAGCCGCCATTTGAGGAAATCATCACCACGAAGCCAAAACCAGCGGAGGAAAGAGTGTACAAACCTAAGATTCCTTACCCAAGAAACCCTAGGAAATCTTAGTAGGAGCTAGATGAAGCAAGATGCAAAGCTTTGATGGAGAAGCTGGTAATCGAGATTCCTTTGGTTCACGCTGTGAAGATTACTCTAGTCATTAGGCGTTATGTGAAGAGAATGGTGACTAGTAATCTGAGCTATGAGCAAGGAGTGATGATGATTTCTGAACAGGTCAGTGCTGTGATTCAGAACCGGATTCCAGAGAAGCTCTCGAACCCAGGAAGCTTTGTCTTGGACTGCTCTATCTTCTCAGAGAGATTCAAGAGGTCGCTGTGTGATCTTGGTTCGAGTGTCAATCTTATGCCATACTCAGTAGCTGTTAGCCTTGGAATGACTGATTCAAACCGACCAGGATCTCTCTAATCCTAGCAGATCACTCTATAAGGATTCCAGAAGGTGTCTTGGAAGATGTTCCAATCAAGGTTGGAGATTGCATGATTTCTGCAGATTTTGTCGTTCTGGAATATGGAGAGGAACCCAAAGATCCTCTCATCCTGGGAAGACCTTTCCTAGCTACAGCTGGAGCTATTATTGATGTGAGAAAGGGCAAGATAGCTTTGAATGTGGGTGATTTGGTCATGAACTTTGACATGGACAAGCTGATGAAGAAGCCCACTATAGATGGTCAGACATTCTATGTGGACACTCTCACTGACTTCGCAGAGGAGGTTCTTCATGAGATGCAACCTGCAGATCCGCTGGAGAGAGCCTTGACTACTTCTGCAACTGAAGCAGAACATCTGGATGACATAACTGCAGCATAAATCAAGATGCTGGACGCTAGCGAGCAAGTGATGCGTTTGGTTACTCAAGAGGAGCTGATTGGCACTTCTGCAAAAGCCGAAAAGCCCAGCGACTGGAGTGAGGAGAAAGCTCCTAAAATTGAGCTCAAACAGCTCCCTGCAGGGTTGAGGTATGCATTTCTGGGACCTAATTCTACTTATCCAGTGATTGTTAATGCTTCTTTAAACAACGCAGAGCTCACTTTACTGCTAAGCAAGCTGCGCAAGTTTCGCAAAGCTCTTGGCTATTCTCTTGATGATATTTCAGGTATCTCTCCGGACTTGTGCATGCATAGGATCCATCTTGAGGATGAGACAAAATCATCGATTGAGCACCAGAGGAGGCTGAACCCAAATTTGCAGGAGGTGGTCAAAAAGGAGATCATGAAGCTGCTGGAAGCTGGGATCATCTATCTGATTTCAGACAGTTCTTGGGTCAGTCCAGTGCACGTGGTCCCTAAGAAGGGAGGGGTCATTGTGGTGAAAAATGAAAAGAATGAGCTGATTCCTATAAGAACGGTGACTGGACACATGATGTGTATAGATTACCGAAAGCTGAACGCTGCGACCAGGAAGGATCACTTCCCTTTGCCATTCATCGATCAGATGCTTGAGAGATTGGCCAACCATCCATACTACTGCTTTCTCGATGGGTATTCAGGTTTCTTCCAGATCCCTATACACCCGGATGACCAGAAGAAGACCACCTTTACTTGCCCCTATGGCACTTTTGCATATCGCAGAATGCCATTTGGACTTTGTAATGCTCCTGCGACGTTTCAGCGGTGTATGATGTCTATCTTCACTGACATGATTGAGGATTTTATGGAGGTCTTTATGGATGATTTTTCAGTTTATGGATCCTCTTTCAAAGACTGTCTGGAAAATCTGTGCAAGGTGCTAGCCAGATGTGAAGAGAAGCACTTGGTTCTGAATTGGGAGAAATGTCATTTTATGGTCAGAGATGGCATTGTTCTTAGGCATAAGGTTTCAGCAGCTGGTATCGAGGTAGATCGTGCGAAGATTGAGGTCATGACGAGTTTACAGCCACCAGATTCTGTGATGTCAGTGAGGAGTTTCTGGGACATGCTGGGTTTTACAGGAGATTCATCAAGGACTTTAGCAAGATTGCCAGACCACTAACTGTGCTGCTCTGCAAGGACGTTAGGTTTGAGTTCACTGCTGAATGTCTTGCAGCTTTTGAACAAATCAAACAGGCATTAGTGAGTGCTCCAATTGTACAACCTCCAGACTGGGAATTGCCTTTTGAGGTGATGTGTGATGCCAGTGATTTTGCAGTTGGAGCTGTTCTGGGACAGAAGAAAGATAAGAAACTTCATGCTGTTTATTATGCCAGCAGAACATTGGATGATGCACAAAAAAATTATGCAACTACTGAGAAGGAGTTGTTGGCTGTTGTGTTTGCATTTGAGAAGTTTCGCCCTTATTTGGTAGGATCCAAGGTAATAGTGCATACAGACCATTCTGCTCTTAAGTATTTAATGCAGAAGAAGGACGCAAAACCAAGGTTGCCGAGATGGGTTCTTCTTCTTCACGAATTTGACATTGAGGTGAAGGACAAGAAAGGTGTTGAGAATGGAGTTGCAGACCATCTCTTACGGATAAAGGTTGATGACAACGTTCCCATTAATGATTTACTACCTGAAGAGAATGTTTACCTCATTGAGACTGGGTTTCAGAGTGGTTTTGACGAAAATCTGCAGCTTTCTCGAGTTGATGGTCGTCTGTGTCGAGCGACACCACCATCAGTGTTGATCAACACTACCCCCATGACATTGGTGTCGCTCGACACCCATCGCAGCAAAACCCAGATTTGTCTAAGGTTCAAGATAGTGTTTCTGAGATGCAATCAGCTGCTATGGCTACTCCCAATCGACCATGGTATGCTGATATTGCAAACTATCTTGCTGCAGAAGACGAGCCTGAAAACTTCAAGGGTTATGCTAAGAAGAAGTTCTTGAGAGAGCTGAGAAGATTTCACTGGGATGAACCTTATCTGTACAAACACTTTTCTGATGGAGTTTACAGAAGATGCATTGCAGAGTTTGAAGTTCCTCAAGTGTTGTTCCACTGTCATGGGTCTGAGTATGCTGGAAATTTTGCTACCTTCAAAACAGTGTCCAAGGTTCTTCAAGCAGGCTTTTGGTGGCCTACAATGTTCAAGGATGCTCACACTTTCATCTCGCAGTGTGATACTTGTCAGAGGAGAGGGAAGATCAGTAAGCGACATGAGATGCCACAAAACTTCATCCTTGAGGTTGAAGTCTTTGATTGCTGGGGCATTGATTTCATGGGTCCTTTTCCTTCATCTTATGGGAATAAATACATCTTGGTTGCTGTAGAAAATGTGTCTAAGTGGGTGGAAGCTATTGCTAGTCCAACCAATGATGCTTCAGTGGTTCTTAAAATGTTTAAGACCATTATCTTCCCTCGATTTGGAGTGCCTCGGATTGTTATAAGTGATGGTGGTTCTCACTTTATCAACAAGGTCTTTGAGAAGCTACTGAGGAAGCATGGCGTGCACCACAGAGTAGCCACTCCTTATCATCCTCAGACAAGTGGACAAGTTGAGGTCTCCAACAGGATTGTGGAAAAGACTGTGGGCAAGACTCGAAAGGAGCATGAACTTGCGTGGGCAAGACTCGAAAGGATTGGGCTGCAAAGTTGGATGATGCACTCTGGGCCTACAGAACTGCGTTCAAGACGCCACTTGGAACTACACCGTTTCACCTGCGCTACAGGAAGGCGTGTCATCTTCCAGTGGAGATTGAACATAAGGCAGCTTGGGCTATAAAGCAGATGAACTTCGACATCAAATCTGCTGCTGAGAGGAGACTGGTTCAGTTAAATGAGTTGGATGAGATCAGATACCATGCCTATGAGAACTCGAAGCTGTACAAAGAGAGAACCAAGGCATATCATGATAAGAAGATCCTCTCTAGGAACTTTGAACCAAATGACCAGGTACTTCTGTATAACTCTCATTTGCAATTGTTTCCTGGAAAGTTGCATTCTCGTTGGTCAGGTCCCTGTACCATCAAGGAGGTCAGACCATATGGGGCTATCGTCCTGATCAGTTCTGACGGCAAGGAGTTCACAGTGAATGGACAAAGGGTGAAACACTATTGGGCAAAAGCCGAAATTCCAGACGGGCACATATTGCCTCTGGATGACGCACCCTCTACCTGAACCTTTGTCAAGTCAAGCTAATGACTTAAAACGAGCGCTTGGTGGGAGGCAACCCACCAGTAAGTTTGTACATAAATCTTTTTGATTCTCTTGATTTTTGTTTTTCGTTTTTGTGTTTTAAGTGTAGCAGATACAAAGTGGTTGGTGTCGAGCGACAACACCACTAGTGTCGATCGACACCAAAAAAAAAAAAAAAAAAAATTTTTGGCAAACCGGAACCGGACCAGTGACGATTCTAAACCGGCACAAGAAGCAGACCAGTGTCAAGACGCAAAGAATTGGTGTCGTGCGACACTACCAATGGTGTCGCTCGACACCATTTATCCAGATGTCTCAAGCGAAGAGGAAGCGCACAGGTGACGCATCAAGCCCTAATCCACCAACACTTCCCTCATCACGCGCTGCACCAGTATCATCATCGAGAACACGACGCGTGGAATTTTCGTTGTGTGCTCCTGTCGAGGCATACAATGGATCACAATGGCATCAGGGGATTGTAAGAGCCTGTCTATCTGGTGATCGTTACATAGTGTATTTCCATGAGTCACGGGAAGAGAAAATATTTCCTGTCTCAGCTATAAGGTCACATGCTCGAGCAATGTCTGCCCTACCACAGGCACCAGTTCTTGCACCGCCTGCCTCTTTCTCACAACCTCCATCACCTCCTGCTGCACTTGCGTCAGCTCTTGTGCGTAGCAGGCCCCCTTGGCCTAAGAGAGAGGGTCAGAGGATTTTGCCTCGGAGAGTTTGGGATTGTCCTGATCATAAGGTAGCTGAGAGCTGGGAATGTGTGAACCGGCCGATTTTGGATTATTGGGATGACTATGATACGTTTTTTTACAACGTCTGGCTGTCTGTCAAAATGCAACCTACCAGGTTCGTCGACATCTTGCAGATGAGGACTCTGGGTATTGATGAGGAGCTTCTGCGGTTGATGGATAAGATTGGCTTGGGTACTATGGCTACGAAGCATTATGATCTTTTCCCTGATCTGGTTCAACAGTTCATGGTCTCGGTCCGTGTCTACTATAGGAATGAGGCTGAGCCGAATGCGCAGGAAGGCACATTGACGTTCATGATTCGAGGAGTACGTTACCGGCTGCCTCTCCGAGACCTTTGCGCTATCTACAGAATCAGGGAGGACCACACGAGAGTTGCTCTACCGACTCAGTTTCTTGATGCGCAAAACTTTTGGTCCATATTTGGGAATGGGGTTTACAATTCGAAGACTACCTCTCAGATGGACGTGAGTCACCCCGTCCTGCGATGTCTTGTTCGAACTCTGGGGAACACTATTCTGTGCAAGTCAGCACCTGGGAAGATGAGACTTTCTGAGCTGATTCTCCTCTCTTTTGCTGTTGGAGATATCATTGATGAGGAAAATTATGATTGGCCTGAACTTGATACGGACGTCAACATGGGAGCCATTTTTGCACACCACTTGGTTTCTTTACGGGGCAAGCCTTTTTCAGCATTTCAGGATCAACCTAGAGCAAAGTAAAATTGTTACCACCCGCTCTCGGTTCGACGTGAAGCATCTGCGGAACGCCTCCTGGATCCACTCTGATCCGTATTGGTGTTTCAAGAATGCAGCTGGGAGATTTCGGATTCGACTACCTCAGAAGGCACTGACAGATATCAGAGATAATCCACTCCAGCTACGTTTTGATCCAGATCCGAGTTTGTTGATTGCTGTTGATCCTCCGCCTCAGCCCATCCGTGGTGTTTCTTCTGGAGCTCCAGCTTCTGCTGTAGAGGACAATCCGATACCT